TTCACGTCGCAGTCATGGCGACGTGGCACGGCAATTAAACATTCAAGCCGTGCGCCCTGACGAACTTTATCCGATGTCAATATTTATACTCCATACGGGTCATTGAATTGAAATATACTCCATACGGGTTAGGGAATTGAGACTGAATATCTTATATATTGATTCCATGAATCTAAATCGTATGGTTATTTACAGGTGATGTGTTGAAATTGCAGTATTATTTGATAATATTATTACGCAAAATTTTATTATGCAGAAATATTCTTGAAGGTTTCTGCACTGTGAACGCGAGAAATGATACTTATTTTTTTATGAGCAATGCTAATTATTTGGAAACCTATTTTGTATCAACTGAAGAAAGCTAGTGCAAAGCTTTGGAGTTCGGAATTGATGTCTCTTGTTGACACTAGATTCAATTAACTCTGGCTATGCAGTACTAGAATATTATAAAAATATAACTCAGTACTCACTGCTGTGAGTGACAGAGAGCGCATTTTCCCGTCGATGAAAACTTGAGGTCACGGACAGACAGACAAACAGACGGACGGACAGACAGACAGACAGACAGACAGACGGACATGGCGGGCACAATAGTGCATTTTTTCCATTAATGAGAAAATGCGCTAAAAAGTAATATAATTGTAACATAATATTAAATGTTTGTTAAGAAATAACTCGCGAGAAACTTTAACTATTTTATGATATTATTACGCACAATTTTATTGTGCAGAAAAATTTTCTCAAATGTTTCTGGATTGCGAACGCAAGAAATGATACTTATTTTTATGAGTAATGCCAATTATTTGGAAACTTATTTTATATCAACTGAAGCAAGCTATTGCAAAGCTTTGGTGTTCGGAATTGATGTATTTTGTTGACATGAGATTGAATTAACTCTGGCTAAGCAGTACCTGAATATTGTAAAAATTAATATAATTTTAAAATAATATTTACCGTTTATTAAGAAATAAGTTGCGAGAAACTGAGTCATCATTATGACGAAAGAAATCCTAATAACGTGCGTGTCTGCATTGCGTGACGATGTCAGCCCTCGACCGCATGCTTATCAGGCGATCAAGAGAGGCATCCTCAGAAGTTCTCAGTATTACTCGAGTTGTAAATCTAAGTCGTAAGTTATGTAGAATATAAGGTACTATGTCTATGTGACTAAATGCGCGAATATTCGCATGCTGTGTTGCTGCTCGTTTTAAGTTACCGTGGTGACTTGACTAAAGTATCAATAATTCCTTTAGTGGCTAACGATGTTTTTTCAGAAATTTACGGAGTATAGACGCTGTCGCTTCGAAAATGTTGTTCTATGACTCACATTTTTGATGGAAAAACTTTCAGGGAGCTCCAATAGACCAATTCCCACGCTTATTTACGCAAAATATGCGTTAAATGAGACCAATTCTCACGCTTTTATATGCGAAAGGCCGATTTTTGCATGCGATATCAATTTGTTTTTTTTTTACGCGAGAAATGCGCTAAAAGAGTCCAATTTTCACGCTTCTTCACATGAGAAATAGATTACTCCAATTTTTTTCAGTTATATGCATTATTGTGAATATGACACCTTAAGTTATTTATTAGTCGTATATTGCATTTCAATTGCTTACACTCTTGAATCTCTATGGATTGTCATAGCTCTTGAGTAATGACCATTGACCATAAATTTGTCTTTACTTTTCGTCGTCCCTAAAACTCAGTATAATGGAGTTGAAGAAATGTTAACGGAGCGCCAAAAAGAAACTACTTGCAAATTGCAAGACGTACAGTGTTCTTTGAATATAAGTTTTGGCCACGTGCGTAGTATCTCTGCAAGGACTAATTTGGAAGAAATGCTGCGACCTTATCATTTTTTTTAATTATTTGCTTCATATAAGCATGTCTGTCACGATTTCCTGAAATCCTAATTTTAAATATTGCTTCCGAATACATCGGCTGTGTAAATTATTAGAAACAATGTGGAGACATCGCCGCTTTTCGGAGCTTTATAATATTCCCTTATTCTAAATTATTTTGTAGTAAAGTCTTTAATTTGCCAAAAAATATAATTCAGTGATGTTCAATTTCTATATTATAAAGGTATAAATATAACAAATGAATCAACAAAATATTTGTATGAGAGGCGCTATGAAGACATATTTGTTCTAATTCTAAATTACTTGGGGCAATACCTCATTATTTTCCGCAAATTAAAAAAGCTCGCTTCTTTTCCATAAAGATTTCTCTGAAATATAAACAGACTTCGTTATTTGCTGAACTGTAACTGGTATTACTTCTGGTTTGATAATTCTGCTAGCTTCATTATCATTTTTTGTTAAAAATGGAGAAACTTCTAGTGTGGAACGGAAGATAATAAGATACGAGGTAAAAAGAGTAATGTAATATCTAACACAGTTACACTAACGAACAGCAAGAAACAAGGATGGTTTTTGTGAAGCCTCTTGTTAGTGATGATATCATCTGTCTTGTTCGTCTTTACTTTCGATGAATGCGCATCGACGTCTGTGAAGGCATTGTTCCCATTGTTACCAGGCAATTAGGCAAAAAAGAATTTTTGCTCTAGAGACAACGCAATTCCGAGAGAAAAGTCAATACACCACAATAGACATCAGCGTTAATTGCAGTCAGCGCGTTTTTTTAGAAACCATACAATAGAAATGTGATCATTTTTGGTCCAAATAGCGATATCTTCCCAAAATACGATCCAAAATTTTGTCAAGGAGTGCACAGATCGAGTTTGCTTGAAGATAAAAAATTAAACACAGAATGCAAGTATTTGCTGAGACTTAATTCATGAGGCGTAATTCAACTTGTATATAAACACCCCCTCCGAAATTCAACTGTCGTTTGATATATAATTTTTCAGGTCATTATTTTAAACGAGTTTTTGTTCATGGAACTAGATTCTGCGAAAGCTTTCAAGTGTGTAACATGGTATTAGAAGCAGCAAACACATCTTACATTGCAAGCAGCCATTCCTGCGAATAGATATTGTTGAGAATAAAGATCTTTAAACTTAAAAGTAGTTGAGAATAAAGACTTTTAAACTGAAAAGTCCATGAGAAGAAATATCTGAAGATCAATCCATAGACCGGACGTGATAATTTTTCAGGTCATTATTTTAAAGAGTTTTTGTTCATGGAACTAGATCCTGCGAAAGCTTTCAATTGTGTAACACGATATTAAAAACAGCCAACACGTCTAACATTGCAAGCAGCTAATCCTGTAGATATTGGTTGAGAATAAAGATCGTTAAACCTAAAAGTAGTTAAAAATAAAGACTTTTAAACTAAAAAGTCCATGAGAAGAGATATCTGAAGATCAATCCATAGACCGGACGTGATGTAACTCATTTGGCGAAAACATATTCAGCCGCTATTGAATTATTTCAATAGCATCAGCGGTCCTAGCGGTCGGTCACGTTCAGCTGCTAATTAGCTTCGTGATGAATCAAGTGTCGCAACTTTCTGCGAATTTCCTTTCTGACATATATTAAAAGTTATTGTACGAAGTGCTATTCAGTCCGGCAGGTGCTATTCACCAAAGGTTTTTACGAGGAACATATATATGCCTCGATATCACCATTGCATCAATAGTCTTTGGAAATTCAAGAGCTATTGAAGCTGTTAAAGCCTTTTGCTTGGAAGTGAACGCCCCATTCCATTATAATGACAACATTCAGAGAAATGAGTTGTTGTTCGAAAAAGTTCGTCGCTATGTTCGAATAGCGACGCACTTTTTAGCGCATTTTCTCATTTATGAAAAAAGCACTATTGTGGTCGCCATATCCGTCTGTCTGTCTGTCCGTCCGTCTGTCCGTCCGTGACCTCAAGTTTTCGTCCACGAGAAAATGCTCTCTCTGTTACTCACTGCAGTGAGTACTGAGTTATATTTTTTGTTGTATGGGTCATCCTGACCTAGTTTGGTTTCTGCAAAAAAGGCGCATCGGTGCTACGTCCGCCCTTTGCTCGTGCTATGGTTAAGAAAAAATGTCACTATTTTGATAAGTTGACTCATTTATTTTTGTGAGTGAAACTTTCCTGCGCTAGCAGTGCTTTCTCGTTGTCAAGAGCTCGTTGCTAGGCGTGTCACTCAAATCAACTGAATTCCCACAAAGCTCGTGCGTGTTGCTTTGCAGTTCTGGTTTTCCTCAACAAATTTGTATTTCAGTGCCACCCAAACTGATAGTTCAATGGCTACTCTAATATTTCTCATCGAAAGGACGTGTCATTTTAGTAGTAGTTTGTTTAAACTTACGGAGTCTCTTATAGTGTCAATCGTATTTTTGATCGATGCGAATCATGAATTTTTCTTCACATTAACTTTTTTTGTGCAGCCAATTCTCTATGTCATTAGGACTTTATTATACCAGAAGACAGCGTACTATCATTTTGATTTTCTTTAATAAATTATTGAACCTAACATTTATTTATAATTTTATCTATTTTTAAATTTATTTATTAATTTATTTTTTAATTTTATTTTAACCTCATACTTAAGTCAAGGTCGACAAATTTGTGTTTTAAGAAATTGAAACTTTTTTTAATCGTGAAAACTTGAATAATCACAAAATCTAACAATTTAGACCCTCTTGAATATTAAATATGAAAGTGAGCTGTAGCAAGCAGGGTTAATAGAGTGCCACAGCAGTCAGTGATTAACAAAAATGTTTGATCTTACTTTCGTTCAGAGGAGCCGTACACTGATTAGGATTAATATTAAAGACAGGATGCTGATATATTAACAGAAACTTGAGATCTAGGAGCATTATTACGAGCCACCTAATGACAAAAGCTTATTGAAAAACTCCGGCTCTCCTGTTGCCAATAAGGTTATTGGTCAGCTGCAAGGTTCACGAGGACTACCTGCGTTCAAGAGGGTCGGTAAGATTACCTGCCGTTAGAGTTAGTTAGGATATAATACCCGTCATTATTGGGTACTGTTGGGTATTATAAATTCTTATTATTATATATTATTTTTTCTGATCACAGGCGCGCCTGGGAGCCCCATCGGGGCGGCCGCAGCAGCAGCGGCACTCCCGCGATCCAAAACTGCCGAGCCGCTCGACTTGGACGCGGCGAATGTCAACCGCCACACAGAAATGGACGCCGAGGTCGATGACAGTTTTGCCAACATTAATGCTGATATACTGGCAGATGATGAAGATTCTGCTGACGTGGCTATGACCTCGTCAGCAACGCTGTCTACCACAGCCAGCCCCTCTACTAGTGAGTACTTAAAGCGAATTACTTTTGGTCAGACTTGTAACTGTACGTATGAACGTAGATGTTATGGTAAGTGTTGATGCTAGGTGTATTAAGCATCTAGTTAGATGACATCCACCTAGACAAATATAATATAAACAAATTTGTAATGTTTACAAGCCTCTTAAGATGTGCATATGATTTTTGAAACTCGAATTATCTCAATAGAAAGCCGTTGCTACTATTCTCAATGAATGTATATTTTAAATAAAAATGTAAGGGAGTTTTAAAACATCACCGAATGCAGTTAAAAACGTACAGAGTTTGAAATATTGAAAATCATCGCCTCGTAATAAACTAGATTTGAAACAAAGCAATGAAACAAAGCTGTCCAAAGCTAAAAAATATAAGATGGCTTACATGTGTAGAAACTGGAAATTTGGCCCAAGTTAGAGACACTACACGATGAAACTTCGAAGCAGGACACGGCCTAAATCAAAGTTACAGAGCAAAACGTACGATTGCAGCCGAATTGAAAAAAGTAATCACTTTTCCGAAAGGGCACCAGCTGTCGATTCGCATCATGAATCACAAAGCAGCCCCTCCAAACGTGACATGACTTCATCATACAAGCATTTCCAGCGAGGTTAAAGCCCTCCACGGCCTAAACTGGGTAAATGTCCTGATCTTGATAAATTAAAAATTTACAACATATCTATCAAGAGCCAGCAATTTCTCCCAGTTGTTAAATTCGTTCTAGTCACTCATGTGTTCGAAGAGCATATAGCAATCTGTGTTTTACTTATAATGACGAGATTCTTTATGTTTCTGTCCATCCAAATAAAGATGCGATCATGAAATTCCTCACCAGATCATATGAAATTCCACGTGTTAATAGAATATAACTTTTAAGTAGCATCATATGGGATATTGTAATTTTCATGCTCATTTTTCATGGATCTGTGGAAGATCCATGGATTTCCTACGGACTCTGAATGCGTATGGCAATAATGACGTACAACGATCGGTTTAGTTGAGCAGTATTCTTTGAAAAAACTTCAATAGCAGAAGGGGTGCCATAAACCTTTGTCACCCCTTTGTATTATCAATTTAAGACAGTCAGGGACAAATTAACACCACGGTCGTCATAGGTTCTTACGAGTTGATCACAGGAAGGTGCGAGATTATTGCACTGAAACAAGGCAAGTGTGAGCGTCAGGTCACCGTATGTATTAAAGAGGATAGAATGATGCTGCACCCACCGACGCAGGCGAGTAAGCATGGCAGTTAATGCTCCTGTAGGCATCTATCAGGGCCTATATAGTACATCATCCATGTGCAGGATTTGCTACCGGAGAGTTACGAGTCTTCAGAATAAGAGACAATAATTGGGTAATTTTCATTCTCTTAAAAACTCTCTGATGTTTCGGTTTGCCTGGCAATAATAGTTACACTTCCGGTTACTTAGCGTATCTTAGTGCATGAATTTAAATAAGATGAAGTTGCGTTGAATAATATTAAACCTGGCATTAGAAGAAACTTCTTCATTGCTTCAAGTGAAATATATATCTAAGTATAATTTTAATTCGCTCTAATTCGTTATGGTATTAATTTTAAAATAAGATTTTTATTCCGTGTACTAATATCATGTTAGTGCTTGATAGTTGCACTACATTTGAACTCGAGCAGAGTGTCAAGCTTCGCAACAGGTGCCAAGTAATTGAGCGTCTCGTCTTGTATTGCAAGAAACTGCTTTGAGCTTGTCTAGTCCGCCAAGGCGATCCCATCAGAGTATTTTACACTCCTGCTATTTCCATCGACACTTTTCTTGTTGTCTCCTGCAATCCATAATTGCGTGGCGTTGCTTGACGGCAGTTCACTCAGAGGGAGAGTTAGGGTTAGCGTGTCGACAGGTATTGCAAGAAACGGCCTCGTGAGCTTGTATAGTTCGCCTATCCGATCCCATCTAAGTATTTTACACTACGTGCTATTTCCTTTGACACTCCTCTTGTTGTCTTCAGCAATCAATATTTGCGTGGCGTTGCCTGACGGCGGTTCACTTCACAGGGAGGGGTTAGGGCGAGGAGAGCGGTGCACTGCAAACCAGAGGGCGCGCAAGGTACGCGAGGTGGTGCCATGGGGCGAGTCAGATCCGTAGACTTATGTGACTCCCCAGTTGAGAGCGAGACTTTGTGGTGTTGGCACGCGCACTGCTCCCGGCGTTACAGTCTGAGTCATGGACTGCTGTTTCGATTAGATACACCATATATACGATTCAATAATTCTAGTTTAACACTGAACATATTTATTTAAACAGAACATTTGTCATCTTCTTTTATCCAGTGATCAGCGTTGCTTCGATTTACAGAACTCATCGCAATAATTATTTGAGATCATTCGATCAGGATGTCGTTGCTCTACTCAGAGTGAAACTTTTGCTGAACGGAGCTTGAACAATAAATAATATAACATAGCGTGTATTTGACACCTATTAAAATTAAATGCCATTCGGTACACAAAAGTAAATTGGCTTGCATGGTGTTTGAGCGTTGCCGTGCTACAGGCACAGGGCGTGTCTGGTAGAACAGACGTGCGTGCTGATGACAGCAGTATGAGAACTTTAGCATGGCAGTTGAATAGAATAACCAAGTGGGGTTTATCACAACTCAGAGATACATAAAGGAAAACTTCTTTGGTCTCTAGGAAGAGAATACCAACACTAAGATTATAATGTGATAATTTATAATAATTTTTGTAGAATCTTTTCAGCAAAGTTTATTATATTCTCAAAAAACGGCCGTATCTTTTGTTACTTGACGTTGACCAGCTAAGTTGAAACAGCCGCCTAAGTAGCGGCCGATTCCTTGTCAGTCATTGGCGGGTTTATATTGAAAAAGCATTGGATGTGGAAGTAACGAAGTCGTAACAATTTATGATAGTACGCCTTAAATTTATGATAGTACGCCCCACATTCTAAGGTACGCCCTACGTCGTAAAGCCATAGCCAATCACCATTCAGGCTCCAATAAAGTGCAGCCAGATGTACACATGCAACCCAAATTGACGTTCATCGCAATACTAGATATCATCGCCAGGATTGTTGATGGTGAGACACAAGTGATCCGATGATAAGATTAGCCTGAGCTTATAGCAAGCATTCTGAGGGCGTTAGCGCAGTCCTCGGGCCTTTTGGTTCAAGTGCTTTTACCGGCTGTTTCATTTGAATTCTTAAATGAGTTACTAGAACTTTTTCAGTCCAATTGTTATGTTTTTATTTAAAAAATACGATAATTCGCAAGCTTCATTTGGTAGTGTAAGCTTTCATTTGATTTCAGAATGCAGCAGCTAATTATCTTGAATTTGTACATAGATCATGAGATAATAGAATGATGCAATTATCGTGAGATAAAGAATAATATTCAATTCAGTGTACGCCTTTGCTGGGCACTTAAATTTATATTTTGACAGGGTTCAGTACGCTGGTGAGTTGCGTCGTCGTATTTATTATTGGGTATACTGCACCCGGAAGTGGACGCAGTGTGTATACTTATCGTCGCTCGGCAACGAACACACGTCACCTTAGTGCGTTAAAATTACACACCTTGCATAGCTCAGAACCACACGACGTAAAATGCGAATAATGTGTTATAATTACGCGCCTTGCATCGCTCAGAACCACACGACGTAAAATGCGAATAATGTGTTATAATTACGCGCCTTGCATCGCTCAGAATCATCAGACGTAAAGGCAAATAATGCGAAGGCAGACCATTAATTGGGAGTTTAACAGTTAAAGTACATAATCGGCTTCAATTGGTACTAATTTGCCTCAACTTATTGGTTTTCGGATACGTATTTTGTGCTTTATTGTAACCACATTGAATACCTTTTTTGGATTTTTAGTGTTTATCTAGGCTTGCACTATTACTAAGTTTCCTATTACTAAGGATGGTAAATCAGATTCCAGTAGTTCTATCACTCAACATCGCCGTCAACACCGAGATGTTTAACCTTAAAGTAATAACTACTATAATGGCTGGATTATGGTTAACTGATTCTAATTTTATTAGCTATTGCCCTTTATATTATTATCGTCGGTTATTATTCATAATATAGAATCAATCTTCACAGCAGCAGTACAGCCACAAACGTTCCATAAATAACACAAATGAGATGAGAACATATAACAACAACTGAACGAAAAAAAGCAGTTAACTTGAAATAAAAACTAACTCACTTAAACGAAAAAAAAAATAACTAAACTAACTTGAACGAAACTAACTTGAACGAAAAACCAAATAAATCGAATTAAAAGCCAAATAACTTGAACTAAAAGTCAAATAACTGAAACGAAAAACCAACTAATTGGAACGAAAAAAATTTCAACGAAAAACAAAATAACTTAACGGAAAAACCAATTGAGAAGCACGCGCAATACCCAGAAATGTGACGTAGCGTGAACGCTTTATCTCTGGGGAGAAGATTATTCCGGAGTCGAGCCAGACCGCTGGAGGCCGTGGACAACAATCTCCGGCGGTTTGTGGCAGGCCGGTGATAGGCCTCCTCTCATGTGGGCTGAACTCTATTCAAAGGATCCACGCAGGCTGGAGGTCACGATTTATGAGTGTAATTTGCTGACCTGGCACGAATATCCTGCATAGAAAAGTGCCTCCGTGCCGTCATAATTATCCCAATGAATGTGCATGACTTATCGTATTCTGGATGGAACTTCCGGGAACATCCGAGTAGTGCTGCGCTATGTTAGTAAATTTAATGCATGGCGGCCGACATGTTTAGGCGACATATTATGGGAAGCGATGAGTAACGCAATAATACGCTGATAAATTCTTTTCATGAGCCATAAAGCATATCACGATGCTTCTTGGTTCAGATATATTCATGTTTATCTAAGACGGCGTCAACCACTATTAAACGAAGCTAGCAACCAAGTGTGTATTTAAATTTAATACGGTAANCTTGCCTTGCTCTTTTGCCCTGCTCTTTTGCCTTGCTTCATCGTTTTA